GATCGGCTGGCAATCTATTGAGAGGAAAGTCGTTAATGCGACGAATACAAGCCAAATCATAGGAAACCCTAACGGATGCAAGAGGAGAAACACATTCCTGTATACCAGCAACAATCACTGAGCGCTTACGTTCAACATCGTCGTAGGCCACAGCAGAAGAACTATCCCTACTTTTATTCAGCTGTAAAGAAGACTCAATGGAAAGAGGAATCTTCAAAGTTGTAATTCGGGATTTTCAATGAAACTATCTCGTTTTCCAACTCACTGTTCCTTTCTTTGACCTGCTTATTTTCCTCCAGTAATTGTTTGTTCCTGGCTAAAACATCGTCGAGTTCACTCTTTATCTCAAAAGGTATCCTGATGCTTGCCTTCAAGTGTGGTGTTAGGGATCGATCGTCCGCGATCAACTCCATTGCAGGTCTTAGGCGGTCGTCGAACCTGGAGGCTAGAAACGTCCAGACGGTGCCTTTTCCATCACGAATCTGAAGCGGACGCGCCACGTAGCCAACGGAGTGTCCATAATACATAATAAAATAGGAACTCCAGACCTGATGAGGCGGCCTGAGTTGCCAGTGTCCGTTTCGTGCAAAGAAACTAGCTTGTTTTGACCAGCAATCGCAACAAATCGATGCCAGATCCATCCCGACCCAAGACAATTTCGCCAATAATAAATTCAAGCAGATAGGAATAGTAACAAGGCTGTAGTAGCCCTGCGCTGCCAGCTAGCGTAAAGGAATAATCGGGTAGGTATACAGTAGATATCCCCAGAAGATTCTCGAAAAACTATGGAGACGATATCCGACAGAGCAGAGTCGATACTCAACAGAGCAGAGGCCAAACCGACCGCTCAGCGTGCCGGCATGCAATGGAAAACACGACGCAGCATGCTATGCTTGTGAAACACTTATGAAGCTTTCTTGCAAGAGGTATGTGAAAGCGCGTGAAGGCGCCTGCACTTCCCTAGGTTTAATTAGGACGTCAGTTTTACAGAAGCATCTTCGCGTCATCATTCATAATCTTCTATCAGTTGCCCCGCAGCACTGAAGCGACGCAGCTGTCCAACATCGACAGCGCATTTCGGGAGGACACCACCATTATCAGAACTTCCCGCCGGCTTACTCGTTTCGCGAAAGGAGACTCCATCTTCAAAGCGGAACCTCGGTCCTGAAGAAGTGTCAGATTCCATAGTTTCCGAAAATGTTAAGAAGGATGCGAGGGCTACCCACCGCAGTCTTGCGACAAGACTCGGTGTACTTACTGAAAGTCGTCAGCCGCCTGTAAGAATAGAAGAGTTGCAGAGCTTCACTCTGGAGGTTTTGTTCAAACTCTGCACAATAATGATCAATCTACTTTTCAAGTACCCGGAGCTAGGTTGCCCACCGTAATGGGCCAAACTAGGACGTCCACCGTAATGGACATGCAAGCTAGGAAGTCCTCCGTAAAGGACAAATACAAGACCATCAGGATTGCCACGATTAACATCGGCACCCTGACCGGCCGCTCTGCCGAACTAATAGAAATACTGAAAGTAAGAAACATCGACATCTGCGCGATACAGGAAACAAATGGGCTGGCGCTAAGACGAAGAGGATTGGAGGATATAATATTTATTATAACGGACAACAACCCAAGGTTAACGGTGTGGCCATCGCAGTGTCACAGAAGTTCGATCACACGATCAAAGACGTGCAGAGGATTTCGGATCGAATCATGTTGGTCACTATGATTTTCGGCAAGAAAGCAACCAATATAATCTGCGTGTATGCCCCGCAAGCAAATTTGCCCAGTACTACAAAAGACACGTTTTGGGAGCAGTTAGCTGATGTAACATCTAAGTGTCCAATCAATGAAGACCTTTACGTCATGGGAGACTTCAATGGGCACATCGGCGCGAGCAATGACCTGTTTGAAGACATCCAAGGACGCTTCGCCCACGGCACAAGAAATGAAGATGGTTTGCGAGTGTTGGAATATGCCAAGTCATTGGATCTGATCATCGCTAATTCTCTATTCCAGAAGAGAGAGTCTCATCTGGTCACATACTACAGTGGAGAACGGAAAATTTTGACCGACTACATTTTGACACCAACGGAGCGATGTGATAGACTGCAAGGTGATACCATCGGTGACAATCAACAGTCAGCACCGTCCAGTAATCGCCGTTATCAGAATGCCAACAAACTCGCCTGCCTTCAAGCCCCCGAGGATTAACAAAAAGCTTCTCAGATGGAATAGGATTGCGCACCTAGGACCAATGGAAGAGACCATTTATCGACGCTGATTCACCAGGCTACGACCACGACATCGAGGAGGACTGGAAGAAGCTAACGAAAGAAGTCCGAGATACCGCGCGAGTCATCGGCTTCAAAAAGCAGTTCAAACATGCACCAGATCGACCCGCTTGGTTCTGGAATGATGACGTAGCAGATGCGGTGAAAGCTAAGAAAAATGCGTTCAAAGCATGGCATCTCAACCCAACAAACGAGACCAGAGCGAATTATTGCGAGGCTAAGAGAATCGCCAGGCAGACAATCGCTAGAACAAGGCAGACTCACTGGTCGCGAAATTGGACACCAAGGAAGGTGAAAAGCAGATCTACCGCCTTGCCAGGTGGCGCTCCAGAGCAACACAAGACTTCGTCAACACGACGACCTTCATCAAAGCCAGCGATGGAGTACTTCTGCACGATTTCAGGGAAATCAAATCCCGCTGGAAAGAATTCCAGGATATCTCCGATGCACAATTCCCACATACTCTTCCCAGTGAACCACTAACCCAAGGATCTATCCCTCGAATCAGCGAAGACGAAGTCGAAGGCCATCAAAAGGATGAGAAACGGGAAAGCTACTGGACCAGACGATATTCCCGCGGAAGTCTGGAAGTATTTTGGAGGGCGCTCATATCTCACGCAGCTCTTCAATAAGTGTATGGAAGGAAAAATCCTAACAGACTGGATGAAAAGTGTCACGGTGTCAATATACAAGAAGAAAGGAGACATCGTCCACTGCTCCAACTATCACCCTATTCGTCTGATGTGCCACACTTTGAAGATATATACGAGCGAGCCAGACTCAGGAAAATAGTGGATATCAGTGAGATGCAATGCGGATTCCGACCAGAGCACAGTACCACTGACGCTATTCATGTTGCTCGTCGCATGATGGAAAAGGCCCGAGAGTGGAATAAACCACTTCACCTGGCTTTCTTAGACTTGGAGAAAGCCTACGACTGGGTGCCTCGCCAGCTTATTTGGGAAGCCTTTCACATCAGCAAGAAGCGCTGGTGAATGCCGTTCAGCTGACCTACAGCCGTTCCACGACCTGTATCCGGACGCCTGTAGGAGACACTCCACAATTCTCGGTTACCGTAGGTGTACACCAAGGATCGGCCCTTTCGCCGTTGCTGCTCATTTTATGGTTGGACTATGCTACAAGGAAGATTAATAATGAGCCAGCTTTGACGCTGGGTTATGCTGGTGACGTGCTGCTGATGGATCGGTCTAAAAACAAGTTGGAACGCGGTATGGAATAAGCGAAAGACTGTCACTGGCATTCTCTGTGATAAGAGAATGCCAGTTCACCTAAGTCTAGGATTTACACCTCAGTCGTGAGACCGGTCGCCACCTGTGGATCGGGACTAAGCAGATGACGGCCGTGGAGACAAGAGCCTATGGTGTTATGGAGATGAAAATGGAGCGATGGAGCTTGGGACACACACGGCTCGAACGAGTTCGAAATGAAACCATTCGTAGTAGGATCAAAGTCTAGCCAATTGTCAACTTTCTTGCCGCACCTCGTCTGCGCTGGTATGGTCATGTTCAACGAAGACCTCCTAAGGACCGGACTGTCCTCAGCCGACGTCTAGAACAGGAACTATTGGAAAGCCTTGGTGAGAAAAGCGTACCCGACAAACGTTGAACAAGAACGCTAGGAAGAAGAAGAAGAAGAAGAGAGGCCGCCTGTAAGCCATCGCGCATCGAAAGCCATCGAAAAGTGCCTGTTCGATGGATCACTTATTCCGTGATAGATGGCACGCGGTGCGCTCCTTTGTTAGTCCCCCCTACTGCGCCCTTATCAGAAGGAGTTTCTGGGAAAATGGTTAGTAGAGAACAGAGATGGGTTGTCTGTGATTGCAATCCACACAGTACCGTCTCATTCGAGGAAGACTTATGCTAGCAGGCCAAACCGGACATGCACTCCAAGAAAGTTTTCCTGTGCTGCTTATGCTGCTTATGGCGGCTCTCCTTGCTGCTTATAAGACGCGTGCGGAATGCTGCACAACGAATTACCCTTGTAAAAAGACATGGTTATCGCTACCATTTGTGCCGCTCAGGTGTAGAATCCAGTGGAAGCTATTAGAGAAAAATGACCTAAAGTACCTTTGGGGCACTTCCTTCATGACGAAGCGAGACTTCAAGCTGCTGTGGGGACCTATTGAATAATTGAGGAGCAAGGCTGGAAGACTATGACTCTTTCACCATATTCTCCTAAAATAGACTCATACGACTGTTACCGGTTCCGCCTCGTTAAGGCTTTTTCAGCTAAGCAAAGTGTCAGCAAGTTTGATGTTGATGAGGTCGCCGACTCATTTGACTCGAAGCCCCTACACTTCTAGAAGAGGGGAATTGCTAACTGCCTATTAGATGGAGCATTATAATGGCTTACAATGGCTGTTACGTTGTTGATTCGCAACAGTGACAAGAGATCCTTTCCTTTCCAGCCTAATATTAACATAGCCACATTTAGTTAAGTTCTAATGTCGCATGTTAATGTCACATGTTTCTACTATAGACTTTTTGTTGTTAGATTTTTGGTGTTTTCATTTGTATGAGGCTCTTTTGTTGTTGTTCTTCTGTTCGTTTTTTACTACTCTCATTCGCACATGAGCTGAACAGATCGATACGGGGCTCACGCGCTGGGACAGCCCGTGCATGGTTCCCACCAAAAAAGTCATCTACTCCAAGGACCAATGGCTAGAAGCGCTTCGCCTCTCCGAGCGCCTACATAGAGGCCGGCTCAGGGCACATCATTGCTGAAGGATCCCAACAGGGGAGGTCGTATTTGGGCTGAAGAAATTTTATTTTGATAAAGGATAAAGGATAAAGTCTTCGCCGTTAATCAATCCCTTTGTGGGATGCGGCACGCATTCTACTTCCATTCAGAATCGTAGTGGCTTATTGAATGCGATGTGGCCTATACAATGACTTGCGGGGCCAGCCGATGTACAAGTCAGTGTTTTATCCTCCCACGGCCGAACCAGGTCTTATACCCCAGACGAATCTGGTACCAATTTACCGTCCCCGGAGGGTAGAAGGCTTGGTTGGCCTGGGCGGGTGTCGACCCGGGATTCGAACCCGGCGCCGCGCGAGTGGTAAGCGCGCCACTTGTCACTACACCACCTCCGCCTCAAGGTTTTATTTTGATAGTTGACTTTTCTCGCTTCACAGGCGTTGTGGGAGGGTCGCACTTGCTCATTGTTGGGAGGTGGGGGTCGCATTAACCTTTTGGCCTTATAGAGTGGTGGTTGA